GGAAATTTACACAGGTACAGAAATGATGAAAGCCAAGATTGAGATTGATACTGACAGGTTCCTAGTGAGTATTTGACATTGAGGAACAAGTTTTTGGAAACAAATAAAGAATATAATCTTTGACCGAGAAGTTTCATGTTTTGTAATAAAATGTTGAAGTACATTGTTTGAATGTTAGTTCGGTACAATATTTTCTGAGTTGAAATGTTGGTAGTGTGGATTTAATACTTTGTAGTTTTTATACTATACTGATGTATGTTGGCACTTATCATTATGGTTGATTATGCTCAACATAATCACTTTTATATTGTGTATTAAAATTTGACTTGGCCATGTTCTTAAAAAGATTGTCCAGGTAATTGAATACTATAATTATTTTGGCGTAGGAAACCAAGAACAGCTTCGATTGAGCAGTTGCAATAGCTCGATTAAAACCGTTGCGATAGCTCGATCAAAACCGCTGCGATAGCTCGATCCAAACTGTTGCGATAGCTCAATCCAAACTGTTGCGTTAGGTCTTTTAAAACTGTTGCAATAGCTCCAACTGTCCCTGTAGCTTTATTAAAACCATACTTATAGCCTACTAAAACCGTTGCGTTAGGTCTTTTAAAACTGTTGCAATAGCTCCAACTGTTGCCGTAGCTCTATCAAAACCATAGCTTTAGCCTACTAAAACCGTTGCGTTAGGTCTTTTAAAACTGTTGTAATAGCTAAAAAAACCGCTGCAGTAGCTTGAAAACCGTCGCAATAGCTCAATCAAAACCGCTGCAATAGCTTAAAAACCGTCGCAATAGCTCAATCAAAACCGTTGCAATGGCTTAAAAACCGCTTACCTTTTAAAACCGTTGCGTTAGATGTAGGGGCACGGTTCAAAAAACCGTCGCAATAGAGTTCAAAACCGTTACGGTAGAGGTAGGGCAACGGCAGCATATGAGGCGGTTTGAGAACCGTCGCACTTGCTCAAGGGCGACGGTTCCATGGCTAGCGCAACGGTTTTGAACCGTTGCGTTAGAGCAAATATGTGGTAGTGCCCACTGCACTGTAGAGAGAGAGATTGTGGTTTGTGGTGTGGTTCACAGTGTGCCTGTAACATTTTCCTTTAAGTAGGGCGACGGTTCCATGGCTAGCGCAACGGTTTTGAACCGTTGCGTTAGAGCAAATATGTGGTAGTGCCCACTGCACTGTAGAGAGAGAGATTGTGGTTTGTGGTGTGGTTCACAGTGTGCCTGTAACATTTTCCTTTAAGTTTGTTGTTTTAGTTTTAAGTTTGAGAATGTGTTAATATAATATCTAAAGATAATATATTAAATGTAATTAATATAGAGTTATTATCCATGCTTATTATATTATACTATAATATACTATATTATAGTTAATTTAATATATTAGTAATATTTATTAAATAATATAAATTTTAATAAATAAAATATTTATATAATAATATAATAACATATTAAATACCAATATTTAATATGTTAATAATGTATTATATAATAAATAAATAAAAATAAAATACAAATAAACTAATAAAAAAGTTATTGATAATAAACAATAATATAATAATGATATAATAATATACTATACAATAGTATAATCACTATAATATTATTAAATTTTTAAATAATATAATAATGATATAATAATATACTATACAATAGTATAATCACTATAATATTATTAAATTTTTAATATATAAGTTATAATAAACTAATAATTAAAAATATTATATAATAGTAACATATTTAATAATAACATAACAATATAATAATAATATTATAATAACATATTGTATAGTAAATGTAATATAATATATAAAATATTAATATATTATGTAATAAATAATAAATTTATTATAAAGTAAAATAATTTTAAATAATAAAATAATTTATTGCTAACAAATGTTAATGTAAAAATAATATATTCATAATATAATAATATTTATTTATATCATAAATACTAATATATTATTAAAGTACTATTAATAAACTCTAACATATTTAAAAACTTAAATCTATTAAATAATATTAAAATATTTATAAATATATTAATTTATTAATAATATACTAGTAATAACTAATATTACGCTTCATTAATAATATTATATTTAAATGAATAATAGTATAATATTATTATTAATAATAGTATAATATTATATTAATAATAAAATAACATTATTATAAAATATTAAATATAATATACAGCAATACAAAATTTTGATATACCAAAAATAATCTAAATTATTAAAATTATTTTGAATAATAGTATAATAATTATAATATAATATAACTCATTAATGTATAATATAATATTATAATATATTATATAATATCTATACTTGCATTCATTTTAATAATTATAATTACAATAAAATATAAAACTAAATATCTATAATTTATATTTATAATATTATTTTATTATACTTAAATATAAAATATATTAATAATATGTTTAATACTAATATTATAATGAGTCAAACTAGTGTTGATATTAAGTGGTGTGTTTCTTGAAAATATTTTAAGGGAAAACACAACATCATGGTGTTTTTTTTACAAAAAACACTAATAAGTAAAACACCTGGTATCCCAAACGAATCTGCTAAGCGTGTTTTTTTTTCCCGGTGGCGCAGGGGGGAGGGGGGAGGGGGGAGGGGGGAGCGGCGTGTGCGAGGGGGGATTTCCACGAGACAAGACTAATTTCCGCTTCACACTTTGCGGATGGCGCTGTTGACCCTAAGAGTTTTTTTACCTGCTAGGGGATTCAGAATACGGGACTAGCCCGCTATGAATCGTCCTCAACAGCAAGCGCTGGCGGGGCATTACCACTACTACGCCAACCCTTTGAGTTAATTTAAGTGTATTTTTATTTATTAGATTTTTTTTCAAGTTTAAAAGCACTTTTTTGTAATTGTTTTCCAGATACGACATTTCCTTCGATTTTGCTAAATATGAGGATATTTTGTTGAATTTTTTCCCCTGTTTGAGAGCATTCACAATTAATTTTTCAAATGTAATGATATTTTTAAATTTTAGAAATGTGGCCACAATGACTGAAATGGGGTGTTTTGCTTAATATATAGTATAGATGTAGATAAATAGATGAATGTCTGATATTTGAGGCCTGAGGGCGAATAACAATGAAATAAAATAAATCACAGATTTCTTTTAATTTAATTTATCCCTTCTATCTTAAAGGCGGGGTAGCGATATTCATGTGGCTAGTGCATACACTAAGAATGATTAGTAAGATAATTCTACAGGCCTTTTTGCTTTTTGGAGAAAATAGGGGCCTTAGCCCATTTTATGACAACTGCTAATTAGGTTTGAATAATTCGTGTACAAACCCATGATTTTGATTTTGCTTATATTTTCAGGTGCCTAATCAATTTCGTAGGTTATGACATACTACTATTTTATATTTCTAGGAGGATTCAAAGAGTTACTATTCATACTACAATAAACGTTACAACTAATGTGCCGTGAACGGTAAATTGACCTAGTCCATCGGCTGTAGCAAATTATTGTACCGTGTATAGTAAAACACTACACTAACTACTTGCCGTGAACATTAAATCGTCCCTAGTACCGTGAACAGTAACCAAAATCTCCCACTATTTTTTTATGTTATTGTTTATGCTACAATATTTTATTGTATCATAAACGGTAAATCAAATCAAATGTATTAAAACTTAGATCCTCCGTTAAGTATAAAGGAGTAGATATTATTCTAAAAATCAAATGTATTAAAACTTGGATCCTCCTTTAAGTTTAAGTATAGAGGAATAAATATAATTTTTAATTTTAAGCATACAATAATCAAATTAAATGTATTAAAACTTAGAGGGAGTTAAGTTCAAAATACAATATTTAAAAAAAAAATAAGAGGTAGTGCTTTGCACGGGGTGCATACTAGTAGGTTTTAATAGAAATAATAAATTCCCTAGTGTTGTAGGTCTGTTTTTTTTTTATGCGAGGAACCCTGCCTTACTACCCGCTAGGTAAATCTTAGCGTCTAGACCACTTTTTGCAGTCTAAATCCGGGTGAGTAGCACAAATGGTTAGACGCCTGTTTGCATATTGTTCTTCTAATCTTAACAAGTACGCCTTAAACTAGATGAAGGATCGCCTTTGGACCTTTGGCAAGCCGAAGTCTTAGCACATCTGGCTTTAGGCAGTTTGAAGGAACATGAATATAGAATATTCGCATTCTTCAAATATTAATTATTTTGGCTTTAAGTAGTTTGAAGGAACATGCATATAGAATATTCGCATTCTTCAAATATTAATTATTCAGTAACTCGGAAAAGATTCAAGCGTAGCTATCGCTCGAACTTTGTTGGTTCGCATTAACCGACAAACAGCGACTTGTTTAATAACTTACATTAAAAAAAAAAGAAATATTAATTACTATTTTGAGTGGGCCGTGGAGCAGGACTTGCGCTATTGTAGTCTTGTAGATGCAGATAAACCAGATGTATTGGTGTGGGCCAGGCTTTAGAAGATCCAATCTTAATGAACTGGAATACTATGGGCCTATCCCATGTTATAACGACTTATCCGTACAAATCACTCGAGGAGTCGAATGTGGGTCCCGGTCGGCGTCCGGTCCATTGCGCTCACAGTAGCTCGACGGACATGCTGTGCGGTGTGGTTCTTGTGTGTGTGCTGTGTTGGGGTGGGGGGGGGGGGGCGAAACCGCAGTCCCAATTTTTCACAAGACAAAAAAAAATGAGCGCCGAAGCGCGATCGAGCAGACGAGCGCGAGATCCCCAATCTCCGGAATTATGCATCATAAAGCGCAGATTAAGATCATCGATCCCAGTCCGACGATTCGCAGCGATTTTCCGACGACGATTACGACGATGACGACGATAATCGGCTGGACCCCCGGACTCCTCTTTCGAACGGCGGAGACCCGATCCCTTGGAGATGCTAAGCAGCGCCGCCATGGCGTCTCGCCGGCGGGACGATCGGGCGTTGCGGGAACGAACTCAGGTGACTTTCTGATTCAGTCATTATGGGTACTGGGAACAAAGAGAGACCTAATCCCAAAACCCTAGACACGGATAAGTTTAGGTTTTTGAGGCCCGATCCCATCGCATTGTATGAGGAGGGAAATGAGGAGATGCATCAAACTTACAAGAGCTCTGATATAAGGAAGTATTTTCCCTCTCGACTCGCTGATGTCACCGTGGGCCCCTCGTCGACCGGGCCCACTCCTCTACCTCGCCGGCTTCCTCCTCCTCCCTATCGGCCGCCAGAAAGGGTCCCACTTGTCACCCACAACTCGCCTGAGGTCAGTATGATTTCATTGAAATTACAATGTATGAATTGTAAATGGTTGATATTTAGATTGCCAAAAGTGATGGTTTTGAGTGCTTCATAGTTTAAAGTAGGAAACTTGGCCTGAATTAAGCGTATATTTTTGCTCATGAAACATAGTTTTGTGTTTCTTAAATAGGGATTCAGGCAGTTTTGATTGCTGGCTAGTATTGCTATATGCAGTTCTTTCTTTCTATGCCATGTTTGCTCGACCTAGCTAAACTAATGACCCTAATATAGCAGTGCAAATTATGACAATTACTATCGCTATGGAGTATGGATGATAATTGACTTTATGCTAATTAATTATCTTAAATCAAGAACTTAGGTCTATAGTTCTAGCTATATTCACAACTTCTTCTATCCACAGAACATTTGTGTAGCTGCTGATATCTCACAGTTTTGCTGGGATTTTTGAATGCTGCAGTGCCAACACTCAAGAGTTAGGTCAAAGCTATGCTCATAATTTCTGTTACCCACAGATTATTTGGAATGCTGATATCCCATAGACAATGTCAAGACGAGATTTAGGTTGAAGCAATTTACACATGCAATTGCAAATGTTACAACAAGATACATGTCATATGACTAAAGGAAAACCAACGACAAAAAGTGGCTCTATATGTACTTCTAAATTAAAATGGAATATTCTGTATTTACAGTTGAGACTTTCTTGAATTTATGTTGAATATGAGACTTTAATTTTTGTTGGGGTAATTTACTCTTGCTTTTCGCTTAACCAAGCAATTGTATATTATTTTCCTCGTGCTACTAATTTATGAATTTGGAGTCAATACTTCGCAATACCACTTATATATAATTTATTCGTCTACTTTATTTGTATTGTATAATAATTTGGCAGATTGATAAATTGTATGCAAAAAGGAAGAAGGTAAGTGGTTTATGCGGCACATTCACTAATTTGCCAACTCCAGATGTCGAACATACACTTACATCATCGTCATCGGCATCGGCATCATCATCAGAAGCAGGTGATACTTTGTAATACCACATAACTCTTTAAGTGTTGATGTTTTAAACAATTTTTGTCTGCATGATTGACTAAGATTTTGTTTGATTTTGTGGATAACTAATTTTAGATTCTCAGATGTCCAGAGCAAGTACAGGACAGGTCAGTGAGACCCAATTGGGGCCAGAGGAGATATTGCCAGATACAGCTGAAGAGATCCACAAGACTTATTCAGAGATACTGGAGGTTGACACTACGTATGTTGCTCCCAGTGAGGATGTTGTGTTTGTTGATTGCCTACCTTCTAAGGAAAGGAGGCCTCTACCTTCAAAAGCACAGGAGTTTGCTCATAGGAGAGAGACGTCTGGTATCTCTCTCAAAGCAGAAGAAAATTATCAACAGCTTAAGGAGAAGTTTCTTCAGAGGTACCAGAATGCAAAGGCCGAAATCTTGAGACGTTTTCCAAGTAAACATCTTTCTGTAATTACTTTGATTTTGGTATACTTGTTTTACTTGTCAAACTTTAGAGATCAGTGTTTACAGTTAAATGGTTATTTCTATAGATCAACCAAAGGCTCCGAAGTTGGGAAGATCTGGAAACAACCCAAATACCAAGAAGCCTCCAAAGGGGAAGAGGGTGGTCATACAGTGGAATGAATTCGGGCAGCCTATCGGGGATTGGGGCACCAATTTCAACAACTACTTAGGTTGCCTTGCCAAGCGGGCGGATCTATTCAACCCTTACTTCATGTGGACACATCAACCTTTCAACCGTTTAGAAGCAGCTTGGAGAGACTTGGAGGTATTATTTATTAACACAAAATTTTGGTAGTTTGAAGGATAGACTACAACCACGACATATAAAAGTAGATGAAGCATTTGTTTCGCTACACATTCACCACTACCTTACCATTTCTATATCTATTTCTGATGTTTACCTTTTAGAGTTGTGACCGCCCACATCCCAATGGTGATTAGAGAGGGAAAGATGTGGTTAATATAAATTTGTAGAATCAATGGTTTGTGTGGTAGGTATGCTAATATAATTCTCATATTTCCAAATTTTGCAGAAATATTTTGTTATGGATGGAAATCCGAATGCTTGGTCATATGTTTTTACTGATAAAATTCCAAAAATGGTCCAAGAATTTAAGTGGCTTTTGAAAAAGTTATACTTTGAGAAGTACCAGAATGATTGGGAGCGTTTTTGGTATTTGGACCCTCGAGCAGATGGGCTCCACTTTGCTGCATTATGCTACTATTGGGAGACAGATTCTGCCAAGGTGAAGTTTACATATATTCATGACGTAAAGTTATGCTATAAACACATATTAGTATCTGATTGATGCCGCTTTCGCAGAAAAAATCTGATATATGCAAGGCGAATCGGGATAAGCATGAGATGGAGCATCATAGTGGTTCTGCTTCATTTTCCCAGTTGCTGTATAAGAACGTAAGTAAAGTTAGTAATTAAGCAACTGAATTTTACATAATGCATAGCATATAACATGCAGTGTATAAGTGCAGAAGAGACCTATGAGAGTCGACGAGATTGTCAAATTTGCGTATGGAACATTTAGCCCAAAATATGATAAGGAGGATAAGAAGAAGAAGAAACTGGCGATTGTTGTAAGTTTGCATTTTTTTCTTAAAACATTGAAATTTCTTTCTTGTAATATACTGTTATTAATTCGGCAGTTCTCTAAACTACTCGGAATCATTATCTTGTAGGATGCTCTACTCCGCACAGTCCAAGAAGCGGCCCTTCAGTCTCAGCTTCAGAGTGATGGAGAGTCTGCAACTGCCTCTGAGCTACCTGTAGATGTTCAGGACCGTTGTGTCCAGGAGATATTTGGTCCCTATAAGAAAAACCGATATAGACTCTGGGGAGTTGGATCAAGGAAGCCGACTGAGAGTGGTGAATCATCCACTACATCTGTTACTGAGCCAAGCAGCACCCATGAGCCTTGTGTTTCCCGTGAAGAGTTCATGGAATTCAAGAAGAATACCGAGGAGATGTTGCAGATGCGTTTGAAGGAGCGGGAGTTGATGATCAGTATGGCTTCAAGCATGCCATCGGAGCAGCGAGAGAAATGGCTGGCACAGATGGCACTCTTGTGGGGCTCTTTAGATGGCGAATCAAGTGCAGCAAAGGTGAAAAAAATTTCACTATTTTGAATTTCAAATTAATAATCAGAACAACTTTTAAGACCAAGGGAACACATTCTATTATATGACTTGATTTTCCAATGTAGTTCCACTAATTACCCTTACCCCTAACTTGATTACACTAATTACTGTAGGAACCCTACAAGAACATAGCTTTTCTCCCAATTATTTGGGATCATCTATATGAATCTTATTCACCCATTAAGTCATCGTGAAAAGTTATATCATCTCTTAAGTTAACCACTATCATGCCCTTCTTAATTGCTTCCAACCAAGTTGCCTAGGCGTGCCTCTAATTCTCATCGTTGTATTATTATATTCTATCACTTCTTCGAATTGGTGCATTTGAGCTTTGTTGTACATGACCAAACCATCTCAATTGTTTCTCTCTCATTTTATTCTCATCAGGAGCAATCTCTAACTTCCTAATGAATGTACTTAGTTCTTATTATATCTCTTGGTGTATGTTAACTACCTAGGATATGTAAAGCAGTAGAAAGATTAATGTGTAACTGTAGATTCGTGCATGAGGGAGAGGTAGTGGCTAGGCAGGTCGATGAGCTGGTTGTAAAATCCAGCACTAATCCTATGTGAATAGTGTTTGCTAAAGATAAATCATTCAAATCAAATTCGACTCTTGGAGATGACTTTGCATATAATTAATATGCAAAATAATCACGGCAATTGCACATTACAGACAAAAAAACAATGAGATTGAAGAAGAGATAAAAATAGAAGAAGAAAATGCGAATATGAGCTATTTTTAGGTGGTTAAGTTTCCAGCTATGTTACCAGGTACTTCTATCATGAAGCTGTACCCGGTACCCCACACGTACCCGTACGAAAACTTCATGGACACTCATTGGATATATGCATACATTTATACAGACATGTGTTCACTTATATGATATATGTTTTAATTTAAAACAATTGTCATACACTTCTTGTATGTATATTCTATGCTTCACATTCATTTCTTGAAACTCAGACATGGGTCGGGTTTGTCTCCACACATATCCATGTTCAAAACTATGATTTTAAAGGGTTGTTTGGGGTTCTAGTTCAAAACGAGCAGTTTCCCCTGGGATTCAGTCCACTTTAGAAAAACGGTCTTTACTGCCCGAAAATACATGTTTGATCACTCCTCTTCCTTAGAGGATCTACAAATGAACATCAATTACAAGTTTTTGTTCTCTAGAAAACTTAAAAGAACCTTACAGAATAGATGTTCTAATGAGGATTATGGATTGTAAGCTAATACAAGGCTGGGAAAGAACTTATGAGTTAGAACTTAGAAGAGCCTGAAAGATTATTGCAGGATGGTAAACATACAACCTTCTAAACTTTTTTTTCCCAGCGACTTGCTTTTCTTTTCTTATTAAAGCCAAATAAATGAACCAGTTTATGCTGAAAATTAATTGACAAATACCCATGGCAAACTAAAGAAATGAACCTTCATTGACATCCCCATACCTGTAATTTATATCGTCTGAACTAAACTGATCATAACTTTAGTTTCAGGACTCATTTTGAAATAAAGTCAAAATCCAGTATAATGTTGACTTAACAAGATTTCCAATGATATATAAGATAGGGTTCGTTAAAAGTTAAAGAAGAAATCAAATTCGCAAGCTAGGAGAATTATAAATCCAATTCAGATTGAATCAAGTTTGACAACATGATTACAAATGTAAAACTTCTTTTAAAATATAATTTGCATATTAAATAACAACAATATATATATATATATATATAATTAAAATCAATGAAAATTAACATCAATCAAGTAAGCATGACAATGTCTGTATCCTATTAATCCGAAATAATGAAAATAAAAATAACAAAGAGAAATTGAATTTCGCAAAAAAGCTCCGTTTGATGGCTTGATCTTCAGTTTTCACGGCTCAAACCTGTAGAGTTCTGGCATGATTTTTCAAAACCAGTCTGGCATGGCTCATCTTCAAATTTAGAGCTAGTTAAGTGGCTATCAATCTTCCATTCTTCATTTGCTATAGCTTTGAATCACAATTTTCATCCACTCCTTACGATGTCCAATGGTGTTCATTTTCATAATTAATCTACTTAAGCCTTCATACGCTTGATGCAACACATTAGTGCACTTGCCAGAAATCTGTGCCTGAGTTAGTGACAGTTATTAAATGTCAGTATTTAATTTTATTTTCGTATTTTGCACTCTTTTAATAACAGAATAGAGATGATGGTCCATTACTGGCTCAGGAAGACAGCAGTGATGATGAGACTGAGACTGCATAGAATATTTAGTCCTCATTGAGTAAAGATGAGATTGAGGAGGGACGTGAGGTAGAGAAATGAGGACAAGAGACAATATGTATGTTTTATCTTTCGATCTGTATCTCATAGCTAATCTTTGTTGATATATGTCGGTTCTGCTTTGAAGTTATTCATTGCTCTATGGAGGTCAAAGCAATTATGCTATGGTGATTGGGTACGAGGCGGTAGATAAGTTGTCAAGTTCGCATGGTATGCAAGTATATCATGATGATCGGCTTGTTTAACTTGTAAACATGTTAACCATTGTGACAAGCAAAATATCCTATCATTGTGAAGTTGTAACATGGTGGTCCATTCGATGGCTTGGAGATCTAGTTCTCAAGGTGGAGCCCTGGTATTACTAACAGCTTTCTTAAAATGCGTTTTTGGCCATGGGTTGGTGGTTTCAAACAAGGTGTACAACAATGTAAACCTATTGCTAGATTGTATCTTTTTTTCTTTTCTAGAAATTGCTAGATTGTATACTAGTTTGTCGTTGGTGTATCAACTACAAACTTGTTTCCTCTCAAATTGGGGTGAAACCGTGAAATCGAGGGGAAGAGAATTCTCGTACCTTTCCATCTATTCTTTCCCCCTATTTTTACTTTAACTTCTGTTGCGACAATGAAATGCCTGTTGGAATCATGACATACAACGCAGCGGAAAAAGTATATCATGACTATTAATCAAAATTAATTAAATACGGAAAAAGTATATCATGACTATTAATCAAAATTAATTAAATATTAGAAGAATACCTGAAACGCTTTCCGAATTTCTACAATAATCTGTCCCGAGATCAATCCAAAATAGCTTCCTTAAGAGAAAAAGCCTCCAATCGAAATCCACCCGTCACCATAGAGGAGCAATACTGAGAGATAGGTTCTCAAAAATCTATTTCTTCATATTATCTTCATAAGATTTTGAATCTCTTCTCTTAACCTCTCATAAGACTACATATGAACCCTATTTATAGGATTACACTAGTCTTAGAGATTTTAACTTTAAACAATTCATAATTATCTAGAACTCTATCCATAACAATTAAAGATAGAATAGATCTGTTCAAAAATTTTATCCATAACAATTAAGGATAGAAATAGATTTATTCAAAAACTTTATCCATAACAATTAAGGATAGAAATAGAATTGCATTGCATGTATACCTCTTCTAATGACATTAGTGAGACCAATTGGCTCCCATATCGAGAACCAATTATTAATCAAATTAATAATTTTAATTTAACAATCACATCCCTATCCGACCAATTGTTCATAAAAACTCTTCCCTAATATGGGATTAATTATTAATAAATAATATCTTACAATGCCAAGCACAACTGAATGATGGAGAGAGCGAAATCTCTCATCTTCCCGTCTCTTCTTTCCCCTATTTTTACTTTACTCCCTTTACCACCGTGAAATTGAGGATTTATCCTTAATAATTGAACCGTGATTGATGGAGAAAGCGCTTTGCCAGTAAATTTTTGTCAGCGTGACCTTAAAAATGTCAAACATACTCTTCCTTTTCCAGAAGGTAACCAGCGGGCAACTTATTATATTTACAAAATCATGCACGTGAATTTAGAATGCTTGACTTCAGTTTTTTTGTATTACTAGTTTTTAATGCACGTGCAGTGCTGGTTTAATATCAAAATATTTTTTTTATTTTATTACTATAAATAAGTCATATTTATTTTGATTATTAGATTTGCTATAATTTTTATTTAAACATTATAAATAATTGATGTGATGGATTTTTGTGTTAAACTGGGATCAGTATACTTAACTGGGATATCATAATTGATTTCTGCAGAAAAAGATATTAGTTGACATAATAATATCTTTAAGCAGAATAGTAAAAGGAAATAAGTTAAATTGATACTACATGTCAATTCTAAACTCTACTAATCCCAAGTTATAGTATGGAGTCAAGGATGAATAACAATATCATCATCAAATATAGTACTAGCAATAAAAAAATAACATTTCTTATTGCATTGAAAATAGAATTACACTACACTTTTCAACATTATAAGCTCATGTTTATAATAAACAATCTCAAAAGCAAACATAAAAAAAGAAGAAGTAGGCTGTTAATCGGTTTGAATGGTGCGGTTAATAGGTGACACCGAACACCAAACCGATCTATTTTTCGGTTTGTTTTTTCACTATTTTTTTCAAAAACCAATTGTGTTCGGTTTAGTTCAGTTCGGTTTTTCTCTGGTTTATATCGGGTTTTTTTCGGTTATTCTATAAAGAAAACAAGTCTAGAAAAGTAGAAAGTAGAAATGTCTCATATTACATAACCGTTTCCGAAAAAAGCGATGAAAAACTAGAATAGCAGAAAGATGATAGATCAGAAGAACAAGATCAATTACCCGACTATTTTTTATATGACGTTTGAGGTGGTTGGTGCCGCTCTTATGATGAGCTTGGAAAGTCTGGCCGTACAACGCACATTTAGCCTTCTGGGTGAGGATCCTACCGTGTTCATCCTTAGTGATGTCTATCTTCTCAAAAAAAAAAAAATCACACATCGGATCTCGGTCTTTTAGGAGCTCTTGGTGCAGATTCGTCGCCACCGGATTTGGGATTAACACTGGTAGGACCGGTAGGAGTAGCTGTTGTAGAATGACTCATTTCAAGATCGGTAAGAGATATGTTTTGCTTTTCATAATCACATTCGGAAGCCATTTGATAGAAGGATTAGAAAGTATAAGAAATTATTAGAGAGTATAAGATTGTATAAGAGAGTATCAGAGAGAAGTAGATGAGTTTTGGTGTGAGGAGAAGAAGTGAAAACCCCTCTCTATTTACAGAGGCAGCCTCTTAGTCAAATGACTAAAAAATCCTCACAAAATAGCCGTTTTTGACCGTTTTTAGGGACAAAACGGTCAAAATGGTCAATATGACCTTTTTGGTCGCGGGCCTGGGTCGGTCGCCGTCGAGAAGGCCCGGGCCTTGACCCTGGTCCGGCTCGGGTTTCCGGGCCAACCCCGAGCCGACGGGCTTTCTGGATTAAAAAAAATAATTATTATAATAGCAGAGAACCCTCGATTCACCACCAATTGAATAGTAGAGAGAAAATTTAAAAAAAATAATAATTATACCTAAATCAAAGGTCTACTTCTCATTACTCTTTAAGACTTTAACCAACAACAAAATAATGGCCAGCTTGACCTTAAGGAGGATAATTCCTTTTGTTCGGAATCTAGGCGCCCATGACAAATTTTCCCGTGCGCTCTGCCACCTCTTTTACCCAAATCCTTTCTGCCGGAGTCGTACCGTATATAAACTCTTTCCACAAAATTTGGAAAATGATTATTCCAAAGTTTCGTCACATCGCGCTCTCCTAAAGAGTATACTTTCTGTACTTCCATCAAGAATTCTTCGTACGACTTCACTGAACAGATGCATGACGAGTCCAAGTTAAATGGGTTCGTACGACCGCCACAATACAATGTAACCCATGCGCTCGCCAGTCTCTCAAGGAGACGAGGATCACGAACAACGAAGAAGGAAGGATTTAATTCTTTGCAGACCGCGTCATTGCCTATAAAAGACGATAGAGAGAAAACAGAGCAAGTTCTCTAGGCTTCCGTATCGATCAAGTTCTAGAGCCATAATTAATACCAATTCGCCTCAGAGCTTCAATCGTCCGCGGCCAAAAATCGCAGTAGACGCCAAGTATTTGACCAAATTGAACTCAGATTCGGAGTCGGACACGAGATAGAAAAGAACACGTAAATCGCTTTTGCTCACTCTTATTCCCAATTATAACTGGGAACCCGGTCACGATACAAAACAGCGAGAGATCCCCAATCCTCAAGCGGCCTCCCTCCTAATTCTTCAAGAATTAGGGTTTCTTTCATCGTTTCGCTCCAAGCACCTCGGTTATGATCGTCAAGCGCTGCCTTAGGTCGTCCACGTCAGCCCTAAAGCGCTGCAGCGGCCCTCCCAACGTCGTCGACGAGGACGACGACGGCGAACAGAGGGTTGACGCCATGCCACGCCTTAAGCGGCCGGGGCCTGACCCCTTCGCCTTGGAGAATCTCTGGAGAGATTCCGCCGGCGATGATGCCAGCAGCGCGGTCGTGACGTCTTCGTCCACCGCATCGTCTTTCTACTCCGGGGGGGTTAGGTCTTCTACGAACCGCTGGGATCCGGCGCGAACGTCGAGGGGGCGGGCGAAGGTGATCCCTAAACGATTGCCTGATTGCGTGCTGATCGATCCTGGGGACGAAAAGAGACCTAATTCGAAAACCCTAGACCCCGATTTTGACGGCAGAGGTGAAAATTCCGTTGGTTCCAGGACTAATCCGATCGCATTGTACGGGAAGGAGGAGCAGGATTTGTACTGGGCCTGCAGGAACTTCAATAGAAACAAGCATTTTTCACCGTCTCGAAGTACGGTAACAAAAGAGGGTAATTGTGATGTTGGTGAACAGTGGTGGCAGGATTGTAATTTTGAGCAGGGAGGGGCGAACATGACACAGCTTGCTGTAGGAGATGTTGTTTGGGCTCAGTTGGGTAGTACGTATCCTGCTTGGCCTGCGATTGTTGTTGATGCAATGCAGCAATCGTCGAAAACGGACTCGGATTTATGTGTCCCCGGAGCAATCTTGGTGATGTTCTTCGGTTGCTTCGGACCTGGAAACAAAAGGGTAAAGAGAATTTCAACGGTTTTGTTCTTTGTTTAAAATTGTCACCAATAATTGACTTGTTTGTGTTTACTTTATTTTGACTAATTGATGATTACTTGAGTTTGACCAATGGATGATTAGCAGGACTATGCGTGGGTGAAGCAGGAGTTGATATTTCCTTTTCTGGACCATCTAGATAGGTAAGTGAAATTTCTATCTAAGATGAAACTATGAGACACTTTTACAGACCCTGTTTTTATCTGAGATGAAAAGGTGAAAATATTAAATTAAACTGAAATTCATTTCGCATGTTTTTATAAATATCTGGTCGTTTAATTCTTATTGATGCCCTAATTGTTAAGAAGTTTTAACTTTCAAAGCTATTATGTGTTTGTCATATATTGCAATAACTTTTAATCCTGTCTTGTTGCTTTATTACGGAGTCAAATCTCATCCGGTTCATAATTCTCTGTATTGCAGGTTTCAGGAGCAAACAGAGTTGCAAAAAAGCAGGCTCAGTGACTTCCACACGGCAATAGAGGAGGCCTTCTTAGCCGAACATGGTTTTTCTGGGGTGCAGGACAATATTGCTATGGTCGTACAGCCTTCTAATCATCATAAGCTTCTCCCTAGAGTGATCCAGGAGGTCACTGGCTCAAACCATGATCAGGATTGCCAATCACAGATCAAGGCAAGCTGCTTGTAGATTTGACTACATAAGTTCGATTCATGTCCTTGTGTTTGGTAAAAGAAGACATTTTCAAAACAGCCTCAAACCATGTTTTAATTTTCAAAACCGACCCACTTTTTTTTTTACCAAAATCGACTTATTTTTTGCCACGTCAGCTTAATCTCTTTCCTAAACAGTCGGGGTTGGTAACCCTGACTGTTTAGGAGGTTGTTAAACCTCAATTAGAAGCCTTAAACCCGATTTTTATACCCTAAATAGTTGGGGTTGGCAACCCCGACTAATTAGGAAATGAGATTAAGCTGACGTGGCAAAAAGTGAGTCGATTTTGGTAGAAAAAAAGTGGGTCGGTTTTGAAAATTAAAACACGGTTTGAGGCTGTTTTGAAAATTTCTTCTTTGGTAAAAAGACCAATGCTGGCACTTTATGACATTGTAGAACTTCCCAACTATTTGATAGAACTCCATTTATGGCCGTGCTATTACTTGCCTTGGTGTTTTCACGTTCTGAAAAAAACAAATGAAGGAGGAAAAAGAAAAAGAAATATTCATTTGATAGTATTCACATAATATATTGGCGGTACCTGTAAAGATCTTATGGATTTGGGTGCTTGAATAGCTAACTAGCAACCAGACTTCTGCTCAAGCAAAAGGAACCAACAATTCCGCAGTTCAATGACATCCTATATGAGATATTTGATCTATAAAAACATAGCTATTTGTAATAATTTTGGAAATTTTCAAAAGAAAAAGATCCATACAGCAGGCTACTATTTTCAGATGAATGCTGTATAAATGAATTCTTACCATCTATATAGCATTTGAAAGTTATTGTGATTCCGTTTTCAAATCCTGCTGCAGCTGCATGGGTCCGCATGCGACAATGACCCGCAAATAGGAAGAATCCTAGGGGGGAAAATGCAAAGTAACTGACCACCTTCTAGGAGAGACATAATTGAATGCATTGATTTTGGCAGCTACACCACCTCCAATATTTAAAGAACCTAAAGGAGCATGAGTTATGTATTTTGCCGAAACCCTTTTGGCTTTATTAACGGAATATCCTTCACTATTTTACTAAGAAGCGGAAGAACAGGAAAACCATTAAGTAATCAGGAAAAGCAGAAAGGCAATCAAGCATGCGGCTAAGGACTGGTGTTTTACTATTAAGGTTGGCAACCCCGACTAATTAGGAAATGAGATTAAGCTGACGTGGCAAAAAGTGAGTCGATTTTGGTAGAAAAAAAGTGGGTCGGTTTTGAAAATTAAAACACGGTTTGAGGCTGTTTTGAAAATTTCTTCTTTGGTAAAAAGACCAATGCTGGCACTTTATGACATTGTAGAACTTCCCAACTATTTGATAGAACTCCATTTATGGCCGTGCTATTACTTGCCTTGGTGTTTTCACGTTCTGAAAAAAACAAATGAAGGAGGAAAAAGAAAAAGAAATATTCATTTGATAGTATTCACATAATATATTGGCGGTACCTGTAAAGATCTTATGGATTTGGGTGCTTGAATAGCTAACTAGCAACCAGACTTCTGCTCAAGCAAAAGGAACCAACAATTCCGCAGTTCAATGACATCCTATATGAGATATTTGATCTATAAAAACATAGCTATTTGTAATAATTTTGGAAATTTTCAAAAGAAAAAGATCCATACAGCAGGCTACTATTTTCAGATGAATGCTGTATAAATGAATTCTTACCATCTATATAGCATTTGAAAGTTATTGTGATTCCGTTTTCAAATCCTGCTGCAGCTGCATGGGTCCGCATGCGACAATGACCCGCAAATAGGAAGAATCCTAGGGGGGAAAATGCAAAGTAACTGACCACCTTCTAGGAGAGACATAATTGAATGCATTGATTTTGGCAGCTACACCACCTCCAATATTTAAAGAACCTAAAGGAGCATGAGTTATGTATTTTGCCGAAACCCTTTTGGCTTTATTAACGGAATATCCTTCACTATTTTACTAAGAAGCGGAAGAACAGGAAAACCATTAAGTAATCAGGAAAAGCAGAAAGGCAATCAAGCATGCGGCTAAGGACTGGTGTTTTACTATTAAGAACTCTTATGGTGACAACATCTTCTATTCCTGATTGGCCTGCAGAAGTCTTAGGCACATCTATTACCGGTTGGCATTCCCCTATGCTTGGCTCTTATTTCTATAGCTTATGGATAGAGGAAGGAGTGAGCTTTTGCTGTGCCTCATCAGGCATCAACCCAATTCTAAGCATCCATATAAGACCTCTTATTCCCTTGGAAAGACAAAGACCGATTTTCTCACCCTCCTCTGCTGGGGATATTACCTCTTGATCTTCCTCTAGGGTTTGTGCTTAAGTGCTTTAATAAGCTTATTCATGCAAATTTGACCTCATATTATAAGATGAGTCTATGCCAGTAGCTCGATGTTATAAAATAGCTTGTAAGTATTGATTTACCTTTTCATACAACCCTTCAAAGCCTGGGAATTGCAGTTACCACAGATACCCAATTTTGAGTCAGAAAAATACTGCTACTTGGCTCTTTAAGTTTACACAGTTTAATCTCTAGAAAGACTCCAAAATTTTGCTAGACTATGAAACAGCCTAGAAAAAGTGAGAAAGGTAATAATGTTTGCTATAGGAAATTGACTTCATCTTTTAAGGCATGATTCTGATTTAAGTGCTAAATGGAAATCCAAACTTGGTTAGTATTTTAAATTTTTTGATTTTAATTGTAAACAACATTAGTCATTGATAAGAGTATCTATTTCGGGAAGCAAGCATTAGAGCAATACTTACAGGAAATAAATATCACTTTCTACAAGAAGGAAATATTCTTTTCCATGTGACCTTGCGTAAGGTATGTACTCCTTTATGCATGTTCTACATTGTGGATGTGCCATCTTATCCAGTACTCGTCGTGACACATGCATGGATCTATAAAGTATCTATATGAATTTTTTTTAATTTTTTTGAAAACATAGATATTTATTTGGCAGAGTAAATCCTAGTAGAAATCTGACCGCTTCGATAACTGCTAATCTTGTAGAATCAGTTGGCTGTTAATTTTGAGTCCGTAACTTCATCATTTTGCACAGAGGAGAAATACATGCCGGTAAATCTTGTTACATCGATATCCATGCCTGAGGAACACATCAGAACATTAAGAAATTGTGAAATGAATATGCCAGCAGTTGTTAAATTAAATCCTTTCTAACATAGCATTTCACAAATGGTTCATTATTTACTATATTTAGCACATGAAATCTATCATGGGGTTTTGACCTTCTTTGAGTGCCATAATGCCATTGTTTTACTTCGTCAAGATCCTAAATTTTTAGCCTCTTAAACTGTTTTGATCATGTATTTTTTCTGTTTTTCAACTTCTAAGACTGATACTTTATTCCAACTCACTCTCGCACCTCCTTCTAAGAATCCGTCAATTCGGATCACAGATGTCCAAAATCAAACCAAGAATATTCGCCTGACGATAGTCTTCTATTTGGTTTATTGCTGTCCTTTCTTCTATGACTGGTAGTAGGGTGACATCCACAGAATCTTAACCAAACATTGCAGGATCAGTAATTATAAGTTAGTATTTTCCTTAGGCGGTAAACATGTGACTTGCAAAGAATCTGGGTTCTTACTTCCCTCTAAAGTTCATTGAAAGTAAAGTTTGGTTCAGAACAATTAGCCTGCGGAAACTGCAAAGGTGTTTTAAGTCTTTGTCTATTAGTCGCACTTGGTTGATGGAAATTATGACAGATCTACAGAAATGTCAACTTTTCTCCTTTTAAATGACCTGATTACCTGTACTTATTATGCGATTACATTTTAAAGCCTGCTATATATGGACACTGATATAGTTTGTAATTCTAAAAGGATTTGGAGGGTGTTGATTATTTATGCTCCAAGTACAAGGCAGATGCAGTGACAGATCGCACAGAAGTTAGGTATACCTCCAATACTTTCATGACTTCCATTTATTTGACATTCTGCAACCTTCGTTTCTTTGGTTGACTTTTATCTTGATAAGTCTTAATAAGGATGCCAGCTTGATTAACAGATACACTGAGAAGAGTTGTCAAGACAAACATTTTTCTAAAGTAGATGTTGTGTGCTGTGGCATGGAAGGGATGTACCTGCCAGATCAACATTTGTAAGTACTAAAAGTCGTCTATTCATAGCAAGTGCTTATTTTTTACTCAAGCAGAGAATCTTTTGTTGCTAGTATTAGGTTTGTTATACATTGCATTTCATAAAAAAAACTCATTTTTGAACATGATCAATATTCAAATATATTCTATGTTAGGCTGTAGCAAGCTTTGTATTAATTTTAGATTCTGGAAAACTTGGGAGGTAGGCAGGGCTCTCTACAATGAATATTCATTTATCTGATGGATTCAGGTGAAATGACAACTTGTCTTATTTTTTGCCTAATGATATAATTTGTTTATTGATATAACAAAAAAAAAAGTTGTTATATTCAAAATTAATACTTGCTTTAAGTTGTTATAGAATGGCCAATAGGTGCATGGATCATATTTGCTTGAAATGTGCATAGTGTTTGTGCAACTGCAACATTCCCTTTTGCAAGGCAACTTTGATCATTATTTTATCTATAGATGTTTTATCTTCAAATTTGATACACAACTTTGATCATTTTGGTAGAAAATTTTGATCTTTATTTGATTTGGCAGGGTTATGTGTCCCTGCGGTTCTTGCAAGGGAATGAAACACACACTTACTGAGTGGGAGCGGCACACAGGTTGCCGAAGTAAAAAGTGGAAGAGTAGTGTTAAAGTCAAAAGTACAATGACTCCACTTTCTCAATGGGTTTGTATTTCATGAGGATCTTTTTTGAAATCTGCAACAAAGTTTATCAATAGTCTTCATAGTTACTTCTTACATTTTGCAAAGCATTTCCTGCATGCACGCATGCACGGACACACGTCTGCACACACATAAACAAGCAAGTGAACAAACACACACATGTTGTGAAAGTGTAGAGCTAGAATCCACTTAAGTGGGTATGAAATTTGGCCACTCTGCCAAGGCATGAACTTGGTTGCTAGACCTGATCAAGCGTGCTTTATTCCTCTTTTGGGTTTAAGCTTCCATCAATCTGAATAAAATTAGACGTGGACTGCCCGCCTATCCATGTTTCTGAACTCTCATGGACTTCATGAACTGACTAATATTTGTTATTTTCACTAGTTAAATTGTGGCGTGAAAACTTACTATCTTGCTGCCCTGCAGATAGAACGTAACCATGATAGTACCATTTTCGCATATGATGCCAAGTATTCATCTCAGACAGTAAGGAAAGAGAAGATACTTGCAGTATTACAAGGTACATACATTCTTAGGCTCAATAATTATTTGATGATAGACAGCTTAAAAAAGACAGCAGCTGTTCTTTTATTGTTAACTAATTTGTCGACTGCACTAATAGTGTTTGCCATAAACATCATCTTAATAGAAGCATATAATTCAGTATGCCCTAAGTGGACGACTGAGAGATGTGCAATCTGCAGATGGGCTGAAGACTGGGAGTATAATAAAATCATCATTTGTAACAGGTATTCCGCACTATATTGTACCTTGCCAGTAATAAGTTTGACATGATAGTAACTCATTCAATTGTAAGTGTTTTGCTAGTAAACTGTACCTTGCCAGTAATAAGTTCACATGGTAGTAACTCATTCAATTGTTAAGTGTTTTGCTAAATAACATAAGTGGCGTTATTAAGTTTCTGTAAATTTCCAGATGTCAAATAGCTGTACACCAGGAATGCTATGGAGCAAGAGGTAAAAAGGATTTCACATCTTGGGTCTGCAAAGCGTGTGAAATACCACAGCGAAAGAAGGAATGCTGTCTTTGTCCAGTGAAAGGTATTCTCATATTCGTGGGAAGCTTACAGATAACCAGCCTACATGGTTGGAGTGTTTCTTTTGATACACAACAGATGTTTCAACCGCTAATGCTATTAGTTACAATTTTTTTGTAAATTTTCCATGACAAATTAAACATTTAGGTGGATCAAGATTTCAGTTCAAACTTCTCGTTTGCTGTCAAGTATTGTCAATCACAGACACAGTTATAGGGTCATCATATTGATATACCTGATAGATCTTTGATGACCTTTTGTCATCAGTTTGATTGTATTTACTACAAACCTTTAAGTTAATCTAGCTAATTGTTTCTTAGGTGGGGCTCTGAAGCCAACAGATGTTGATACATTATGGGTGCATGTAACATGTGCTTGGTTTCAGCCAGTTGTCTCTTTTGCAAGCGAGGAAAAAATGGAGCCTGCCATCGGCATAGCGAACATTCCGTTAGAGTCTTTTTGTAAGGTAAAAACTTATATCATTACTGTTTCAAAATAAGCTACACTGCCTTGATTATGCATTTTAAGCAATCTAACCACTAAATTCTTATTTTTCTAACCCTATTTATTCATGTGCATCCAGACCTGTGTAATATGTAAACAAATGCATGGTTCCTGCACAAAGTGCTATACATGTTCAACTTACTATCATGCAATGTGTGCATCAAGAGCAGGATATCGTATGGAGGTTAGTTCCTGATAATACAATAAGATGTATGACAATGAGAAGGCGTTCAACACAGCCATCTATCTTGTGTAATGTATTAACATATATTTCATAACAGTTGCACTGTGAAGAAAAGAACAGGAGACAGATAACAAGGTGGGTTTCGTATTGCTCACTTCACAGGTAAGAGCCCAATCCACTTTTCAGAGAAAGGATCATCATTTAAGCCTCCTATCATGATAAATGTTGGAAGTTGTTACCTTTTTGTAGGGGTCAAACAAACCAAATATTTAAAAAATATTTTTTTATTTATTCGCTTAAGTATACGGTCATATTCAATTCGATAGTTCATTTAACAATAAACGAATAGTTTATAGTATTCGGTTCATAAACGAGTAGAATTTGACTATAGGTATATTCGATTCGTTTGCTTAATAAACTATTCATTTATATTTAGACTTTAACCCTATACACTTTGTTTATTACATTCTCTATGCATCCCAAAAGTTTACTACACATATAGCCCCATATAAATTGTTTTTCCATTTTGAACATTACATTTAATCACTAAGTTGCATATTTACTGGCTGTATCAGGTTTGGCTGCGTTGCAAGACTATGATAGGATAATGAATATTTACCAAATATGACCCCAATAATCCGCAATGTCTGCCTAAACACTATTAACGAATATTTGCAAATAGTTTTGAATATTTGAATACTATTCAAAGGAAATTTGAATTCAAATTTCCTATTCTTTTCAAATCTGAATTCAAATTCAAATAGTCAAGTATGAACCGAATACAAATATGAATAGTGGGGTGCTCAATTCAAATTCGTTTCATTTCAACCCCTACCAAATATAATTAGACATCAGAAAATTAAAATTGATTCTCTGACACTTGTGCATACTTGATGTGTGGATTATACAACTTATTTTGTTTAAGCTTAGTCATTGTTTCTTTTTTCCATTTTCTTCATGATTAAAGTCATGAAGTCCCATGCATGTTTCTTGAATGGAATTATCTTGGACACGCATAATTAATGTTTTCATTAAGTTAATGCAGTCACATGTTTTTATTTCTTGTTCAGGACACCGGACCCAGATACTGTTTTAGTTATACATACACCCCACGGAGTCTTCACTTCAAAAAAGTTGCTTCAGAAGAACAGAAAGAATAATGCTTCAAGGAAAATTAGAATAGACATTCAACAGGATTCACCCTTACCTTCACATCATTCTGAAACTTCATCTGCAGCTAGATGCCTGATTTATAAAAAGACAGGAACTAAGGTAAGTAAATGCATATATTATGCTTTGCCTAAAATCTAATTTCTACCATACCATGCTAGATTTTTTATTCTTTACGACATTGGGATTGCCGATATTTTTTTTTTTTTTTGATGCATCTTACCCATTCCTGCAATCTGTTTTTTGGTGATAGATAAGTATTTTTGAAATTTTGGATCGATGCCATGCATCCTAAAAACACTAAAAGAGCAGTGCTATCACTATCTTATATCTTTTTTTTCATCATATCATAATTGACATTTCAGACCAGTGTTCTTGTTGAATCTTAATTGACTTTTCCGTGATAGTCAACAAGTTTCACTTACAAAATTCAGTTAAATTGCCGGATATATGATGTTTTCTATTAGTTTGAAAACTATGGTCATATCTCTTTTGCAGGTTGAATACCTTCATGTATTTTATGTGTGACAGTGGTGCCTCAGATCGAGAAACTTGTTAAGATTTTCGTTCACCATCACCATGGAATACATGAAGATTTCTTTGAAAGATCACGCTTAGTGGAACTCGTTAAATAGGAAATGTCCTACAAAGTCACTTTGGAATTTACACTGTAACTGCTCATACCCATTTTTAGTTTGCAAAATATATAGTTGAACACTAATCTTACATTTGATATGCTACTTCAGTACCATTATACAATGTTCTACAGTTTTATACTTTACATCTATAAGACTATAACCTTTTTAAATTATAGTTCTGAACTGTGTATAGGCTAAAGCGAACTTGACCCATGTCAAACAAGTTTGAGGAAGTAGTTTCGTAGTATACGTCCAAGTAGTGTATTACAATTGTTTTAATTAAAAACATATCCCGAATAAATGTATGCATATATTCAAGGAGTATCCAAGGAAGTGCAGGTGTGGGTATGGCTTCATATAGAAGTGGTCAGGTACATAAATTTTCATTCTTTTCCTGTTCAAGATATTGGCATCCATGGATTAATATTTGATGCGCTGCTTCAGAATGAAACGGTTCACATTTTTCTGTGGGTATATATTTCCTTTAGGTTGTTTAAAATTCTTCACTTTTTCTGTGATTATATATTTCTCTTAGATCGTGTAAACTTTAGAATGCTTCAATGAAGGTGCCTGGTAATCAGATTTTGTTCTTAAATTGGTTCTAAATTGATCATCTATACTCATGTACTGAGCCTTTAATAGTGCTCTTCTGATTCTTACATTCTGCTTCTCATAGAGAAAGTTGGAAGATGCCGCTGCACACATAATTAAGGGGTCTTGCCATCATTCAATTGGTGAAATTTTAAGATTGAATGTATCTATGGTAATCTTTTCTTCCTACTCACTGATTTATCTTAATGGTGTTGATCAGTTTGAAACTTTAAGTGATATGTTTCTGGTATTGTTTCACAGAACAAGAAGGATCCAGAGTCATTTTCCACGTATAGAGAGCGGCTTTCTTACCTGCAGGCAATTTCCTTTCCCGTTACATTTATATGTTTCTTTTTTACATTCTGTTTAATCTTCATTAGTTCATTGTTTGTTCATTTTCCAGTCAACTGAGAAAAGTCGAGTATGTTTTGGTAGATCTGGAATACATGGATGGGGCCTATTTGCACGTAGGAACATTCAAGAAGGAGAAATGGTAATGCTTGAAACTATAAAGTACAAGATGGCGTTAGGCATTTCAGTCGTTTTCTTTCAATGTCTACCAAAGTTTAATAGTTTTTGTCATTTATGCAAAAGTAGTATTGTCCTGAGTTTGTGAATTCTGTCACTCATTTTCAAGTTTGATCCTCGTAAGGCACACTTATCGATAAGAAGCTTTGAAGCTTGTTTATTTCAATTTTGTTTTTAAGTCAGTTTTCCCCTAGTAAATAATATAACACATTATTACGTGTTAATTGATTATTTCACCTTGTAGCTACATGGGGATATAATGTGTTAAAGGACAGATCTAATGTGTTAAAGGACCTTGATAGCACAGAACTCACTAGCACTTAGCTGCATTGGCATTTAGACTTATTGTAATTAATAACCAAAGGTTAGAAGAAATTTAGTAGACCTGGGAAGACGATCGAAAAATAATCTAATGATTTTCTAGTGTCTAAGGTATAAAAGGTACAATTCACTAGTTGATTATTGAAAAGTAACGCTGGGAAAAAACAAACAAGCAAACTAACTTCTAACAACAGGTATAAATCTGCAAATAACAAGCTAAGGAGGATGAATAATGAATACGCAAGCATATAGATAATGGCTTGCAAGTGCAAGTCAATACATTACATGGATGGATATAGATATGTAGGTACGGCTTTCCTAGCCATAGTTACGATGATAAATATAGCACGAAAAAGAATGTCAGTGACACATAACATGAATGTACATAACTAACGTAAAATGAATATTCCAAAGATAACTAACTTTACAACCATCATGGTATCCTAAAGTCCAGAGAACATGCAAATTTATATACATAACATCCATTGGAAGTTAGTAAATTTACCATGTACTCTGGTGGTTCATAAACATAAGATAAACATCCAAAATCAAGAATAGCAAACAGACCAAAAGTCCAACATCCAGCTCTAGTGATGAGTATTAAAAGTGAATCTAGGTAGAAGTGAAGAGCAGTGAGTGAATGGAAATCCGAAGCTCAATTCGAGTCAACATCACAATCATCTTCTTTATTTCCTTCACTCCTTCCATCCCTAATAATTAGACCATGGGACATCTTCATCCTCGTACTCGTTCCATCATCAGAGACAGTGGACTCCACTGAATATCCTTGATTCCCTTCTTCTCAAGGACAACTACCTGAACTCGGGATCGTGCAGCACAGTAGGCATTTACCTTACACACCACTCCTAATGGGTGATAAATCATCATCGGAGCCTGGAGACTAGAAAATCTCGACTGGATACACTTTTCCATCATCTGCATTGACACCTTCAATAAATCATTCACAGTTTTTTTGGCTTCCTAAAAGAAAATAATTTTTGGAAAAAAATTAAATAAAAACTATAACGATCTCTCCCCTTAGAACATATCCCATTGTTGACTTTTAAAAATGTAATCCAAAACTCAAAATATTCACTTACGCAGGTTCGGTCCTCTCACTCAGGTCCTAAAAATATTACCTCTTTCTAAGCAAGAGAGCCACAGAGAAGTTGGCGTATTATTGCTAGAGGATGAGATAATCAACAAAATAGTAAATTCCCTGAAGGTGAGTTCTGTCAGCTGGTTGATCCTCACATCCAGGATAGGTTGATTTCTAAAATCTTGTAGTTGACATCCTTTACAAGTTTGGCTTACATACACTCGAGCAGTGCTCTCATATAATGCAAAAAGATTTTTGTTATAATGATTTAATAACTCAATACTATTGCATCCAATAGTATATTACTAACTTCCATAACTAAAACAATTTATATAGACTTAGACATGTGCTTGGGCACCGATATGAATGCGGGCATAAAATCCTAGAGACATTGGGTTATTTGAAGGCGGGGAATAGGATTCAACAATGCATATATTCCACATCATAAGAATTGCATTTCACTTTTAATATGAGGGGGGAAAAGCATGGGATGACAAAGTGTGTATAAGCATGCAATTTTTCCTTTTTTTTCTTTCCTATTGTGTGCGCGCTCATGTGTTTGCGTGTATGAATCTTTTGTTCTAACGTAAAATAATTGTTACAAAAGCATTGGATGCATAATGTGTGTGTGTGTGTGCACTTACATTAACTTTGTCCACCAGGAAGTGTTTACTGCAACATAAAATAATTGCTATAAAAGCATTGGATACCAAAATGAGTATAAATTGGTAGTAGTTTTGCTAAATTGTCAAAATGCCATAATGTCTTTTCCTGGTTCAGTTTGCTGAAAAGTAGTAATTTTCTAGTGAATTTTATTTACGAATTGCTTACTTAGGACTGTGAGTGTTTCCCTTGATTGCCAGTAACATAACTGTCTGCCTACAGATTATTGAGTATCGTGGTGAGCAGGTCAGGCGCAGTGTTGCGGACTTGAGGGAGGCACAGTACCAGTTGGAAGGAAAAGATTGTTATGTGAGCTACTGTATTCCTGCATTATTTTCTTGTTATGTTATTTTTGCATTCTTTCATAATCCCTAACATCAATTTAGCAAATATTCGAATCATTTAAGATAGCTAAGCCTTTTATATCAACAGTCATGGCGAAAGATTCATGGATGTCATTATTTCATTCACCCAAATTATTGAAGGAAAATGTGCAGTTTGGCAATTATGGAACTAGGGGAAATTTCAGTGTTAATGTCTAAACATTGATAAGTTCTCTGACCAAGCAATTGAGAAATCTGGGACATGATTCGCCCGTGTTTAGTGTGGTTGTAAGACATTCATATCTAATCGTTTCAACCTTCTTTCAGAATTTCGTAATGGCAGCTTGGTGTTGAAGTACAGACTTTGTCAAATCTTAGTACTTAGCATGCATGTAAGTTTGATCTCTCTCTAGAGAGAGAAGTACTGTTTCAAAATAAATAATTATTAGCACTCTAAAATATTTCATAAAAATGACGAAAATTAAGCAATGATAGGAGTAAAAGAGAGAAACTTTTTATTTTGATTGAAACTGAGGAAGTAAACAGTTTAGTCAGAATATTTCTTTTCGCATGCTGAAGGATGATAAGAATGAGAAAATTAAAATTAAGCATAATGACATCAATCATGTACAACAATTGTCTAGTTACACTGAGGAGGAAACGAAGAATATCATTAAGTGAAATTAATGGCGGAAATAATTAAACTAGATTTACTTCTCTGTGATGGTGAATACTGCTATTGTGATCTTAGGCCTAGGTGTTTCATCAGTGTTTCTTATAATGGGAAGTCATACCCTACTTTTGGTTTTTATTAATTGCGCAAGGACATCATAGAACTCCATTAAAGTTATCCACTAGAGGCTAAGGAAGGTATTTGAGGAAAGATCTCGGTCAACCAAGCCAGAATGGTAGCTATTAGAACTTTTAAGTACCATATTAAGAGGTATATTAATATATATTATATGGGCTGGATTTCAGCTCTCATCTTCTTGGATAGTTCACATCAACTTTTTCCACCATTAACATGATACAAATTATAGGATTGTCTGATGAGTATGAGCAAGGTAATAAATGGCTAATGTTAGGAATATGATGGGGGGAAGGGCCAAGAAAGTCATGAATGTCAACAGGTTGAGAATCACATGCGATTATTTAGAATAAAAGTAAGAATGTGGTATTTAACAAAGCTTAAGAGTCTACCTACTTTTTTTCTTTTCTTTCTTTTACATCAGGTCTAAGTTTCTTTTTGGGTTTTTTTTTTTTTTTTTTTTGGGGGGGGGGGGGGGGGGGGGG